AACCTTCAAATTTCCCAGTACACCAAGTTCAACCATTCCAGCAAATTCCTACTGCATCTGTAGAAACATCTGCTGTTGTTCCTGCATCATCCACTGGGAGTGGTTCTTCATCGAAACAACGGATGCGTTGGACACCAGAACTTCATGAAGCCTTTGTGGAAGCAGTCAACAAGCTTGGTGGAAGTGAAAGTAATTTGCGCTCCTTACTTTGAATCTTAAATAAGTATCGTACTGTTGTCTAACTTAATAATTCTATTTTCAAATACAGGAGCTACTCCCAAGGGTGTGCTTAAGTTAATGAAAGTTGAAAGTTTGACCATCTATCATGTAAAAAGTCACTTGCAGGTTTGTTCTTCATTTCTCATTCTCAAAGTTCGATATTTTCACATATAGACATACTGTATTATTACCTGATGGTACTGTGATACAATTTCTTATAATGCAGAAATATCGAACAGCTAGATATAAACCAGAAGCATCAGAGGGTACGCATCAATTTCTTTTTCCTTTGTCTGCTTTCTTACATGTGTCTTAATTTTGTCTCCCTCTTCAACTGTCAATTTTCTTTTGAAAAAAATAGAGTTTTGTGTATCCCAATTTATGTGGCACCGTTTGACCGGGCATGAAGTTTAAGAAATAAGAGAAGACTTTGTTGTGTATACCAAATTGCCCTTATTAAAGTCTCTTTTAGTGCTTGCTTTTAATTGACTTTTCTTCCCAATAAAGTGTCAAGTGGGACCCAATATGGATAAAATGAGGATGGTGTCATTAAAAATAGTTGTCAAATAAGGAAAGGTAACATTCTTTCGGGGACGGACTAAAAAAGAAAGAGTGTCACATAAATTGGGACATAGAGACTATAGTATACTTGTATTTGCAAGGGCCTGCTAGTGATGATCTTTAAGATGTTTTGTCTTCTTTTGGTGCTCAAGTATGTATGCATATGAATTCCTGACTAGGTTCTAAGCTGTGTGTTACTGTGTTTCTTAAGTCAAGTCCTCTAGTCTACGGATAAATCTTTTCTTTATTTTTTGAAACTGGTAACTTTTTCTAATCCTCGGCATTAAGGGCTATGCTGGCCACCTCCAAAAGATGTTACAAGAAAGGAAAAAAGGGAGAAAGAAATACTTACAAAGAGCCTATGAAGTCCACTGATCGGATCTCTTCTTCTATATTCTGTTCTTTACACCAAAAACCTAGAGTAGTAATTACTTTCCATTTGATCTTATGTATTGTACACTCCTTTCCCTCAAAAATTCTTTGATACCTTCCTTTCCATATAGTCCACCATATACATCCTGGAACTGTTCTCCACCATCTCTTTTGACTCTTTCTGCCTCCCTTTTGATCCAACAACTTAAGAGGTCAGAAGTGTGTTCTAGGCTTCTAGCGTAGTCCAATACTCATTGGCTATGCTAGTAAACAAGGACCATACCTGTGCAGTTACCTTACAATGCATGTATGTTGACACCCCTCTTCTGCATTGCTTCATGAGTCAGACAGCTCTTCCTAGCAACCAACCAAGTGAAGCATTTCACCTTGGTAGGTGCCACACTTTCCATATTGTGCTCCAAGGTCCAGTAGATCTTCCTGCACTTCCTCTGACCCCCCAGTTGTAAAGTCTGTTCATAGAAAATATCCCAATCTTTGTGATGTCCCCATGCTAATCTGTCTGGCTCTAGAGTAGTACGAGGGAATCCACCAATCAAATTCAAGAGCTCCACCACTCTATCAATCTCCCAGTCATTGAGCAACCTTCTAAATACTAGATTCCAACCTTGTGGAGACCAGTCTATGGATAAATCTGTCCATTAAGAAATATGTAACATTAATGTTATGTGGCATTTCACCATACCTCAGGAAATTACTTTTTTGAGACGTGTCATGGACATGAAATCACACTTGTCTGAAAGGTATAACCTAACAAACTGGTAATTTTTGGAACTTTAATTGAAATTATCAAACTTCATACACGATTGCCAAGATCATAGAAAACTGGTAAAAAGTTTGCACTATTTAACTGGAACAAGTTAACTTCATACACCACTGCCAAATCTCACAATTTTCTGTGTCTTCTTTTTAATAGCCAAATAGATTTGTCACTAGGATACAAATTTTCTATTTTGACATTGTGTTACGAGATGTTTGGTGCTTGGAGAATGCTATTGTGGAATCCTATATTTTAGTGATTTTTTCTTTCTTTTTATTCAAATATAGCTGCTCCTGACCCATTATTGTCTTCTGATGATTTTCTGCTTGCTGAGGCCCTTTTATTTCTTTTCCTTCTTATTATAGGTTCCTCTGAGAAGAAAGAGTCATCCATTGGCGATTTGTCAGCTCTGGACTTAAAAACGTTAGTAGCTGGGCCCATTGCTTCTGTTTTTATGCTTAATTATATCCATCATTTGGAATCTGGTTAACATTTCTTAATTCACTTGTGCATTCACTAATGAGTGGATTAACCAATTTGAATGGCATATTTTAGGGTACGATTTGTTTATTAGATGTTACTTGATAATGGACTTTTGTCGACAGTGTAGGTGTTTTTGCCCTATGCTGTAGACTGAAAACATAAATTGGATATCCAGATATGGACTTCAATAGTTATATTACCTTAGATTGGTGCCATGAGATTTAACCTTCATTTTCTCTGGTATATGTGTAAGGGATTCCAAAAAGAAAAGGATGACAATGATGTGGGACCCTTCTTTTTTCTTTTTCTTTTTTTTTGTGTGGGATACTCATGTTGTCAACCAAACTGGAAGATGAGAAAAAGAAAATATTAGAATAGTTAAGTTGAGGCTTATGTAGACAGGAATTTTTTATATAATGACATGGTGGCTTGGAGGGATATATTAAAGGTGCTGTTAAATTTTCCCATCATAACTTATTGTAATCTGTTTTCTCATGTTATCTTTGTTATATGACGTGTTTGGGTTTCGATGCAGGGGTATTGAGATCACTGAAGCGTTGCGGTTACAGATGGAAGTTCAGAAACAGCTGCATGAACAGCTTGAGGTATGAATTCTCGTCTTAGCATCAAGATCTTGTGACTCTAGCTTCAATTTGACAGGTCATCACTGCTTGCATCATATGCTTTATTTTGTTGGAGATTGCTTCTGACTGCAGCCTTTTTGGTATAAAATGGTTGCATGGCATGGCCACTTCTTTTTTGGCCCTTTCTGATCGTCCCTCTCTACCTCTGCGAGGTAGGGGTAAGGTTTGTATACACACTACCCTCCCCAGACCCTACTTCTAGGATTACACCGGGCATGTTGTTTCCCTTTCTGATCTTCTGGTCTTCGCAAATAAATCTGAAGCTAAACGTGAAGTTTTGGAATCTCTATATAATTCTTGGATAATTAATTCACAGCTAAGCAGTCTGGATTTCCCTCTTTGATTATCATTGAGATATCATCGATCTGAGCTCCTCACTGTTTAGTTATGCTAGTTATCCCCTCTTATCATAGATGAGAACATTATGCAGCTCTCAAATGTTGGAAGATAAATGAATTGGCAGCTTCTCCAATCTAAGGAAAGTTGCATGGTACTGTATCTAACGTGTACTTATGTGATGGCAACCTTTTACAGATCCAAAGAAATTTGCAGCTGCGAATAGAAGAACAAGGACGATGCCTCCAAATGATGTTTGAGAAGCAGTGCAAGTCAATGCCCGGTATTGACTTGGCAAAGGGCTCATCATCCATGGCAGAGGATGTGTCCGCACAGCTGAACGATGCAGTTCAAAGTACCTCAAACAAAAATGATCCAGGGGTGTCACTGGTCGATCATCACGAAGCAGGAAGTTATACAACTGAAAAAGTGGTGGGGGAGAAGCAGAAAGAGCATGAAAGAGAAGATATTACTAGCTCATCAAATTCGCCACCAATGAAACGTGCCAAGGTCGATGAATAAGCTTCTGCAGTTCACAAACCTTTTGGTAGGATATTAGGTTTTATTGGATACTGGGACATCAAATCTCTTGAGTAAACCAGCTTTTAACATTTTTGGTATTCCTTCCATAGATGACTATTCAGATGGGCAGTGGATTGTCCTTTATTTTCAACATACATGATAAAGAAATGTCAACATTATTCCTTTAGTATTGTTAATACATATGACTATTTAGAAAACTACACATGGATTTTGAAGCTGCATTTTTAGCACTTCTGATGTCTTTTTCTTGCTAATTAATGTTTGAGCTTAGTAAAGATTACTCGTGAGCAGAGTTATTCAATATATGTACTAATAAAATCTCTTGAAAAATAATTTTCAAAAGAAACTTTATTTCATCAACCATACTCTTTAAACGAAAATTTTTTGGTATGGAGCGCTTCCTCCTAAATAAAGCCTTATGTGGCACTAATTCAAATTAGTTGAACTCTAATTCTTGGTATGGAGCACTTCCTCCTAAATAAAGCCCTATGTGGCACTAGTTCAGATTAGTTTAACTCTAATGTGAATATTGAACACCTAATGAGAAAGGTTTTTTTTTTAAAACATAAGGAAAAGACTCCATTCTCTAATTTCTCCCTTCTACTTTCCACAAAGCCTATACTAAATCTACTTAGTATTTTATTTTTTGTGGACGCTATTATGTAAAATTAATTTTCTTTTAAAAAAAGAAATGTGTATTCACCTTTTATTTGTCTAATTCTCCATATTTCTTATTTGTATTTTCATGATATTGACATGAAATGCATTTATATGGACCAACAGAAAGATTCATAGTCAACTATGACTTATTTGGGACTGAGGCATTGTTATTGCAAAACTTGAATTTTTCTGTGATTATGAACTAAAAGATACGAAAAGGCCGGGGAATACAATCTTCTGCTTTCTAAGATGCACATATACACAAGTATTTGCTTCAAAGAGTACCACTTTTGGTTGTGACACTTTGTAGCAGAAAATTCACTATATTGCTTAGATGTAGAAAGTGTTGTGTACAACAGCCATAGATAAACAAGATTCTTTGTCTCATCTATCAAATGAATAAGACTTAACTAGCAGGATTATTCATAACATATAACTAAACCTTGTAGGTTATATCCCTTTTATCAGCAGAAAGGCACCAATTTACATGTAGCAATAGACTCCAGAATCCATGTATGCTGAATGACCTGACAACCAAGTGGCTTGGCCAGTTCCTCAGCCTTTGCTTGTCGTTGAAGCAAAATGTTTCTTTCCTCCCCGAATGCACAACCACGTGGAGGATCACTGTTATAAACAACTAGACAAGCTGAACTAGTTGTTTGTGTAGCATCAGTCTGGGAAATCAACTGTTCCTTAGTGTGGATTATGGAACCTCCAGCATTTTCAACTAGATCTAACAGGTCGATTCTGTAAGCTGAGACATAATCTCCACTCAGATAAAACTTCAAACCATCAAATAGCTTAGGTGCCTGCATAAGAAATAAGGAACCTTTTTAATATCCCATAATGATTTTAGAATCATGGCATGCTTTATTTAAGCTTGGGGTCTATCGGAAACATCCTCTTTATCTCTACAAGGTAGGAGTAAAGTTTGCTTATACACTACCATCCCCAAACCCTACTTGTGGGATTACACTGGGTATGCCTCGTTACTAAGAAAATAAGCAAAGATGTTTCAGCCAAAAGCATGTGCACAGCCAGCATTGTAAATGCATTTCCTATCACCAGCAGAAAGATAAATACTTACATTGGATGAAGCCCTTAGTCTACCAACTTTGGGACCTCCAAAACAGCCGTGATTGTCCAGGCTAACTTCATAAGCCTCTTCATTCACAGGATAATTTTCTTGAATGCAGGCTTTTATCCCTGCAAATTAAGCACAGTTGTGTTAGTATCAAAAAAGTTGAGCTAGTGGTCAATTGTTGAAGTATACTGTTTTTGTTTTGACCCTGTTCGTGTTGGGTGATTCATCAATAAAGATGTGTGTTACATAACAAAATGATACAGAATTACTTAAGCTTATCATTTATCTTGCTAAACGTGTGAACTAACATACTACTCCAAGCCACACAGCAGTTTATCAAAAAGTATAATCCTGATCGTGTATAGTACCCGACCACATTCAAGGATGAACGTAGACACACCAAACAGGGATAATTATTCCAGTCCTGGGAGGGGTAACCTATATAAATACATTGGCTTCATACTTGTGCAAAAGAACTATTTCTTGGAGTAGAGCAGCATTTCAATAACTTGGTACTTCTCAATCCCTCTAAATACATGATACTTCTGTTTTTATGTTGTCTTGATGAATTTATTTATTTATTCCATTGTTTAGTTTGTCACTTAGTTTTACTTTTTGCATATTGTGCTTCTATGACCATTCACCATGCCTCTCCCACAATGAAGAATCTTTTTTCTTTTTCAAAAAATAGGGGGGTAGGAGAAGGGAAAATGGGGGAGGGAATTACAAGGTGGGAAATTGAAACCTCACCAACAAGGTGAAAGTTCAAGTAGGTAGCCAACCAACTAAGCTCCTAAGATTCCCCTATAACAGAGAATCAAACGAACAAAAAGCTACTAAACCATGTAAGACAAAAAGGAAGAAAGAGCTTACAATCAATTGTTAGGATCCATTTTCCACCCAAAATTGCCATGAGAACTTTCAGTGTTCTGGTGCATGCACCCTTTTCATCTGTTGCTGCAATGACATGAGTGACACTTGGGTTCCAAGACTTGCACACAGTTGCGCCACACATATTAGCAAACTTGACCAACATATACTGAAATAAGATTAAAAAAGCAATTAGGATAAACCAATATTGATGCGTAGATAACTCTATTCTTGTTTTTTCAGTCAACAATTTCCCAAACCAAAAGAGCATATATGTTAGTAAATAATATTGACAACAATTTCCCAAACCAAAAGAGCTTATATGTTAGTAAATAATATTGATGGAAGTGCAATATTTCAACCAGCAAATTCCCAGACCCAAGCTAAAAGAACTTATATGTTAGTAAATAATATTGATGGAAGTGCAATAGTTCAAGTGTTCAACCAACAGATTTCCAAACTAAAAGTGCTAAACTTATCGGATTATTTTACTCCACCACATGTATAAGTCCGGATGGAAGAGAGTAAGAGACAAATAACCAAAGTCAAATTGTGAGAAATAAATAGATAATTAGCTAATTCAGCAAATGGAAGGGGTGAATGTTAACAGAAAACTGAAGAATGAGTTAATACTGATAGAAATCAAGTCCAACACAATCTGAAAATCATCAAAATAAAGCTGTCTGCTTGTACATAAGCAACAACAAAGAACTGGTATAGATAAGTTGGTTATGCATGATAATATGCTAGTATCAATATGATAACTAAGTTGGTTTTGCTTGGTAACTTGCTAGTTGCTAGTGGTAGCAATGGGCCATAAAATGTCATTATGCTAGTAATTTGATCCATGAATATAAAAAAAATGATCAAACAATCAAAATAGATGCATTGTACTTAGCATGCATTGTGCATAGGAAAGAAACTAGCATAAAACATCCTCACTATAGAAAGGAGACCAACCTTCTCTTCTGAGGATAGAGCAGATCCACATAGAACCCATTCTTTTGGTCCATCTGACAATGTTGCCCAAAAATTCAATCGCTCGGATGTTCTGCATGCACATTCAACATTATCTTCCAAAGGGGGGTAATCATGTGTTTATCATATAAGCTTTAAACAAAGGGGCAGGGACAGGGAGGGACTTGTGTCTTCTATGTAATTGTAATTAGATATCTTAAAATGATATAAGATGATGTTTTATAATTCTTTTAAAGTGTCTACAACTTAAGCTAGGTGGCAAAAGTTGATATCAAATATTCTTACATGGGAGCAGGTTCTGGACGTGCTTCAATATTGGCACGCTTCCTAGACTTTGACTTTTCACTAGGAAATTTAACTGATTTGTGGCTAGGACACAGCATTACAAAGTTGTCCTGCAGTCAAAGAGGTAACTTTGAGAAGAGAACAGGAAAAACAATATTTATAATGTTCAACTTGATAAAATCATTAACTAGCTGTGTCATGTTGCTCTACTTACAGTATCCCAACGGCAGTCCTGCATTTCAAATGCACAGGGCATATGGTAACTCCTCCGACAAGACTTCACAAGGCAGCCAAGTGCTGCACCCTTTAGGCCACAACCACTACACTTGAGTTTTGAAGCTCTTGCCAATTCAGCCTCCAAATTTTTTATGATCTCTCCATCATAATATACTTGAGGCGCCCTACAGAATGAAATTTAATATAACATTAGATTTGTTTAAGTAAAAGACTAGTGTAGAGCACTAAATATGTAGATCATTCCAAATAATTAATGCAAATCTGGCTAGTTATAAATTTTGGAAGGCAATACAATTAAGGCAGCACTAAGTAAATATGGCAGAAACTTATAGGATGCACCTAAGGTGAATACTAACAAAAATCAACTAGTATATTGATAGATATACTAGTACATGAAACAACCTTTAGACATTACTTAGTTTGTTCATAGTAAGCTTAATTGGAAAACTTTGGATTACTTAAATACTACTTCCATTCCAAAGAACTAGCTCCATAAGCAATATAGAATGGTGTTTGATCATTACAAATAGAGGCAATATAGTTATAGGTTCTAATTTAACAGTTGTAAGCTGGCAAGGATAAAAATCCCCCATTCAATGTCAATAACCATCAATATGGCTAGAACTATTCTATAAACAAAAAAGAAGATGAAATTCAAGAATGGATCTGAAGTCAAATCATCAGAATGTTATCAAATCACATAATTAGAGCTTTCTCTATGAGCTGCAGTGCCATAAACATTACTGATAATGGAATATCAAAGCCAAATTGAGAAATGCATACCAGTCAATACATTTCATATGCACAGGTATGGCTTTTGAAAGTGAAGTGGCATCTCCCACCACCTCCCTGCCATTTGCATAGTGCAGCATTGGTCCAGTTCCCTGCAAGTATTAATCAGATATAGACAAGTTAAGTTTACAGAATGGTAATAGTAGCCAAATATGACATCCATATATATAAATGGAAGACAAATATATAGGGCATATGAATGGATAATCTACTATATGATAACAATAGAAGATAGCATGAAATGATTATATCAAAAGAATAAACATGGTATAATAAAAACTAAATTTTGATGTTTGGCAATAAATAAGGTAGGGGTATGGTCTACATACACACTACCCTCCCCAAACCCCACTTATGGGAGTATACTAGGTGTGTTGATACTTGATACTGAAGCTTAGTATTTATAAATCATGGTTTGGTCATTACAAATGAGATATTGAAATAAACTTTGATAAGTATTTCAAATGAAATAGTAATAGTTTTTGCTCACGAAATTTTGACTTTATTTTTTCAAGTGAAATTCATATACAAACACAATAAAATCAACTTTGAAATATATTTTTAACTTCAAACACTTTTTTTCTACTTCAAATACTTTTTTTCTTTCAATTAAAACCAAATATTGCAAACCATCTACGTATTCTATTTTCAGTTTGTCCTTTAGAATATAAAGCAGACATCTGACCTCTGTTATCTTAGATTTGAGGCAGAAAGCACAAGCACTGCCTTCCAGAAGATGTTGATCTGAAACTTCTTGTGGATGAACAACAAAAGAAGATTCACTCAATTTGCATGTCAAGTTGCAGTCAGAGTTGGCAATTATTCTTGAACAAGACTCTCTTTGTTGATTATGATCATGACTCTGCAAGGCCATCTCTGGCAATCCATAGCTTAGTTTCTTTTGTCTCTTCACATCCCTTTCATGAAACACATTTTCATGCAAAACTGTGTGGTGCATTAAACCTTCAACCACATCTGAGCTATCTTCTTTTTTCAGAAATGGAACCACACCTGAGCTATCTTCAACAAGCCTCTTTGCAGCATTGGTTTTCATAACCTGAAAACAAGTAGACTCATTTAATTCAATAAAAAGAAGTGTTAAGGTAACAATTTTTTGGTTGTGCTAATCCTTAGACAAAATCTCCATAGTCTGTCACCATGGTATCATAGATAACGAGCTACTCTACTTCCCAGGATTTATTCAAGAAAAAATATTGATTAAAAGCTGGAGAAATTGTTTACTACTACTCCATTTCAATTTATGTCTTAATTTACTTTTTAGTCCATTTCAAAAGGCATGTTTCTTTCCCTTTTAGGCAACTCTTTGATTGTAACTTTCCTCATGGCATGTCTAAGACCACAAAATTAAAGGACATTTTGGTACATTCCACATATCTTTAGTATGAGACCACAAACTTCTTTATTTTCTTAATCTCCGCACCAAGTCAAAATCAAACATACAAATTGAAACTGATGGATTAAGCACTTTAATAGGAAGAATGTGCATCTTTTTTACCAGAAATCATTTCTAATTAAAGTCTAACCTCTAGCAAGTAATGCACAACCACAAGTATCAATAAACCTTTAGTTAGAAGGCACTTAATATTCCTTTTGCAAATAATTAAACCCAGCGAGGAAAAAAGGTAAAAGAAAATCATCTATACAATACTAAATTACAGCAATTTATGAAACTTATAGTATTTCTTACTCTCAGTTCACTGGTCTCTTTAACAATATCTTTGTTGCTGTCTGATGAATGAGCACTGCCTGGTGACTGCTGTTGAAATTGATTCAAATCTATTTCCTCTGCATTATACCCATCATTTTTCGAGTCTTCCTTCCTGTCAGATGAAGGCAAGACACTCAAATGATTCACAACATTCCATGGCATTCCATGTTCATTGTGCCTATGAATCTCCTTGCTCGGATCATTCCTTCTTATTATGGCTTTGACAGATTGCTCATTTCTTGATTTGTCAGCATTAATAGAAACGGGAGACTGCTCGAGTGATCTTCCAGCATCTGGAGCATTAAACCATTTCTTGTGTGTGAGCAGTACTATACTTTTACTAGCAATAACAAAATGAACAAAAATTTGATGTATGGATTAAGATAGATTTACCGGGAGATTGGAATTGAAAGACTTTAGCATTGCAAGTAGCATCTAAGCTTCTAAATATGGCTATCATACTCTCCATATGAGGCACTGCCCTTATTTCTGCATCATCCAACAAACGCAAAACATAAATCATTTCCTTCACAAAATCTAAGGAACTTGCAAACAGAAACAGTCATATCTCTTCTTTTCGCACGGTAAAATCATGATTCATTCATGAAAAAACATAGGATATTAAATTTATACAGCTTTGTTTGTGTTGAACTGTATGAACCACCTCACCTAATGCTTAAAAGGAATTAAAACTGAAAGCATTTAGTTATATCATTTTTGGTCTGCTACCATTTATGTATTAGCATTGATGGAATTACTGTCTTTTCGAATGGGTATCTCCCAGAAGAACTTGAAAACCCAAAATGGGCAAACACTCCATGACCAAAAAGGGGTTTGTTTGGGCGAGGTATAGTTCATACAAAAAAAAAAAGTAGCTTTGGCTCAAACACTCTATATTTGTACAGAAATGTACAAAATAAATATAAATAATTGATTTTGCACCAATAAATCAAATGAGTGGTGATTTTGAAACCACATAATAGTACCTTGATCAACATATTGATGTTTGCATAAAGGGCATTCACATTGAACTTGGGTCGAGCTCGGAACACAAAAGCTGCACAAAACCATTGAATTAAAATCTTTTGGCAACTAAAACTGAAACCCAGATTTCAACATTCAAGCAAATACAAAATATCTCACAAAAAATCCAATTCAAAGAATCCCAAAATGATAACTTACTTGCAGAAAATATGGTCGCAGGGAAGCAACATAGGTTTAGTCAGCAAGTTTAAGCTGCAAAATCCGAAGAAACCCCAAATCAGGAAACCAAATGAAAATACCAAATCAATCAATCCTCTACATCCATTTCCTCTAATAAGTTAAAAAAAAAATCATCTTTCAGCTAAATTAGTTCTTCAAAACTAAAGGTTCTACGAGTACAACAACATACCCAGTGTAATCCCACGAGGTTCTACGAGTCTCTAACAAAATGACCCAAATGAAACAAAACAAAAGGTACATTGATTTTAAAGAGAAAATACCAAAGAGGGCATTTGAGTTCAAGACCCAATTTCTGAATATGAAAAGCCAATGGGTTAAGAAACCGAGCAATGCTTTGAGCTTCCGCCGCCATTCTTTAAGTTACTCAAAGCTTCAAAATAGCAGATTTTGCAGCTGAATACAGTGTTGAAAATGAAAAATTGGGAGAAAGTAAAACTATAGTATATATGTATACATAAATATATAACTAATTTTGGAGTTTTCTTGAAATTTGGCGGTATAAAAATTCGAACTTTGGCGCTATCTTTGATATTGGGGGGAGTTTTCTCCCGCGAATTTTTCGACATTAGCCAATTTGGGTTGTTTTAGGGTTGGCCCAAATAATACATCTTGGATGAGTGAAAGGACAAAAATGGTCATTTTATGTATGAAGTCGGAGGTGGACCCACGTGAAAAGATAGAGGTGTACATGCATCCGTTAACTTTTGAAAAAAAACATGTACTCAAATAAGGACTATATGTTTCATTAGACACTTCGAAACATAAAGGTTTGTGTTGATGCATTCGTCCAACATTGGTCGTAGGTCTTTTGTGTCGGTGAGTTGACTTGGATTCAAATGTGTTTTGTTGACGTTCTTTGTCATTTTTTTCATGTGTAGAGTGAGATTTGAGATCATTAAATTGCATAGAGAGTTGTGTTAATTTTTCTTGTTTGATTTGTATTTAATATGATGCATTGATTTTTATGTGTTTAACATTATTTTTCAAAGAAGTAGTGTTGGTGTTGCTCAGACTTGAGAAATAGTCTACTTCAAGGCTATAGGAAGGACTACGCTTTGCAGGTGGGCATCACTATTTATCATGTCAAGATGGAATTTTGATTTTTACAGGTGACTACAAAGATTCGACGAAAACCGGGCATACATTTGAGAGAGAAGGTTTAGATACAACTTTAACTAACACGTTCACCTATGGTGGTTCCCCAATCAAAATTGTTCGAATGTATATTTAAGAAATTATTCTAAAACAAATATATATACTGAGAAAATGATAAGATGAGTGTGTTGTAGATATATTAGACCAAAAAAAATTGAAAATGGAGATGTTCCGGACAAAATAAGAGGGACATTTGCAGGTAGACAAGATCAAAAAAACAGTGTTGAGGACAAATAAAGTAGAGATACACAAATGTCCATGTGAGATGACGTGAGAGGTTTGTCAAGGTTCAAGAAAAGGTAGAGATAGACCAAAGAAGCATCAACAGAGAGATGTAGTAAGTTAGAACATGATACACTCTAAACTCAATGAGGACACGACGTTAGATAAAAGGACGTGAGATCACAAATTAAGTTAAGAACGTTAGTAGTTAGTTGAACGTTATCTTATTCCAATGAAGGATAGACTTGGTGGTAGTTTAAAACACCATACGTTATTCTCCTTTCATATCAATAACTAGGTAATTTACTTGCGTGAATCTTTCTAAACTTTTAAACAACCTTTTCAATAATCGACTGTTATAAGAAAAAGAAAATAAATTTTAGTATGTTTTAAGAACATTTCAACAAAAATTAAATGATTTGACATTATCACATATCTCAAAAATTGTAAATATACGATGAATGATTAAAAATATATTCATATCTAATCATTTTTATCTTTTACATAATTTATTATAATATATGTTTGATGATATAATTGTCTTGTTTTTTGTTTTGTTTTTTTATGACAAGGGAAACCCGCAGCCGCTACCCTTTGGGTGCGCACAGGGTAAAATCTGTTAAAATCGAGTGATATTTTTATGTAGCGATTAGACATCATTTTTTCGTACATAAAAAATATAGAATCTGATAATTTTATGGTTAGAATAACTCCTTGTGGAAAAAAAATTATGTGAAAGTTTTCGATAATCAATATTAGTTATAAATAAGTTAAGATCGTTAAAAATGTATACCACAACAACATAAATAAAGTTTTTTAGAGACAATCTACTTGTCTGAGGTCAAACGTTCACAACTTTTCGTTATTGTTACTTTGTTAGTCTAACAAAATTTATAGAAGGAGAAAAATGAATTTGAAACAACAACAAAATAATATTGTTGACCCTTTTAGAAATTCATTCTTCATTAAACTGTTGCTTTGAAGGCCTTTCTAGGTGCTTCATCAATGCAACTTTATGATTTTTTCAGAAATATGTATGTATAATTGTTGCATTATGAAAGTACAAGTAGATCAAAATGTTGGATTCTAGACTCACGTTAAAGAAATATTCTCGAACATTAAAAAATTAAAAATAAGTCTAACCTAGATAACTCAAACACTCAATAATGACTTGGGACATGAAGGACAACAAATCTATGTTAATGGACATATCTTTCGTAGCTTAAGATATTACTTTTATTTAGAGCAGGTTTTCTTTCATGTTATTCAAATTAATCTTGCCGAAAATAGTCATATCTCACACCAAAAATATTTAAAAGAGCCGAATAAGAAGGAAAAAAAAAAGAAAAAAAATTAAAAGGATGAAAGCTTTGTCCAAGTGAGATCATATACTTTTCAAACATAAAGTAATCAATACAATTTGAAGGAGACAACAAAACAACGAGAAAAAACATACATTAAAGGAAGTAAACTATGAGATATCCAATAATGATAACAAATTAGTCTAACCAAAAAATTTCTCATGTTATGAAATAACATACCTCAAAAAATTGACCAACACTTCAATAAACTTTCATTCCTTAAAGTACTCATAATATCCACCGATAAAATTGAGTAAAAATAGATAACAACAACATAAAAACCAAAAAACAGGGGCATGCAAAGTTATTAGCTCTTAGAGAATTTTTTAAAGAACACAAAATTTCATCCTTGTATGTGAAAGAATGACGTTGTTGATGAAGAAATTAGAGATTCGTAAGGTTTTTTTTTATAATTTTAATTGTACCTTCAACAATTCCAATAGAGAAAACTTACTTGAATGCTCAATTAACTTTTGTTATTTGATCTGTACTAACAAATACTTATAACAATAATTTTTCGTAAACATAAACTACAAAGTTTAAGCTTGTACTCAAAAATAAAAATTAATAATGTAAGCATAAATTAATGATTGTGAAAAAACATACCCTGTAACAATAGAATGAAACAGAATGGAAAAAATTGAGCCCACTGAATGCACAGTGACCCCATAAGGAAATTATTCCCTCTAGTACCCGAGGTTTGAAGAAATAGACCCTCTTAGGATAGAACGATTTTATTCACAAGTGTATTGATACAAAAAAAATAGTGTCAGTGAATCATTCAACATGAGCAAAGTACACAAATATTTAATTGTCTAAAAGAAGAGAAGAAGCTCAAAATTTTCGTTGTTTTAATATGAGAGGAAATTTCTCTATTTATAGACAACAAAGGGTAGTGTGAACAAATGTTTATTGTGTCTTATTGAAAATGTCACAACTCTTTGGAAAAGTTACAACCCTTCGGAAAGGTTGCAACTCTTCATAAAAGTTTCAACTTTGCATAAAAGTCACAACATTTCATAAAAGTCACCACTTTTCATGAAAAGGGAAAAGCTAGTTTTGGAAATAAATTAAATTAAAAGGGAATCTTAGTTTGTGGAGGCGCCACATAGGTGGGTCTAGGGTTCTCTTTTATATATATACTAGGTAATTTACCCGCGCAAAGCGCGGGTATAAATAATCTTTCTAAGCTTTTGAACAACCTTTCCAATAACCAACTGTTATAAGAAAAAAGAGAGTAAATTTTAGTAAATTTTAAGAACATTTCAACAGAAATTAAATGATTTAACATTATCACATATCTCAAGAATTTTAAATATATAATGAATGATTAAAAATATCTTGATATCTAATCATTTTTATCTTATACATAAGTTATCATAATATATATTTGATGATATAATTGTCTTGTTAAAACTGAGTGATGTTTTTATGTAGCGATTAAACATATCTTTTTTCTATTTTTTTGTACATGAAAAATATAGAATTGATAATTTTATGGTTAGAATAACTCCTTGTTAAAAACAAATTATATAAAAGTTTTCGATAATCAATATTAGTTATAAATAAGTTAAGACCGTTAAAAATGTTTACCACAACAACATAAATAATTTTTTTTAGAGACAATCTACTTGTCTGAGGTCAAACTTTCACCACATTTTGTTATTATTACTTAGTTACTCTAACAAAATTTATAGAAGGAGAAAAATAAATTTGAAACAACAGCAAAATAATATTGTTGACCTTTTCAGAAATTCATTCTTCATTAAATTGCTGCTCTGAAGGCCCTTCTATATGCTTCATGAATACAACTTTACGACTTTTTCAAAAATATGTATGTATAGTTGTTGCATTATGAAAGTACAAGTATATCAAAATGTTCGATTCTAGACTCATGTTGAAGAAATATTCTCAAACATTAAAAAATTTAAAATGATTCTAGCTTAGATAACTCAAATGCTTAGCAATGACTTGGGACATAAAAGACAACAAATCTATGTTAATAGGCATATCTTTTGTAGCTTAAGATATTACTTTTATTTACAACAGGTTTTGTTTCCTATTCTTCAAATTAAGCTTGTTGAAAATAGTCATAACTAACACAAAAAATATTTAGTAGAGATGAATGAGAAGGAAAAAAAGAAAAACATTAAAAGGACGAAAGTTTTGTCCAAGTGAGATCATAAACATACAAAACGAAAAATATTCAATATAATTTTAAGGAGACAAAAAAACAGCGAGAATAAACATACATAAAAGGGAGTAAACTATGAGATATCCAATGATGATAACAAATCATTCTAACCAGAAAAGTTCTCGTGTTTCAAAATAACATACATCAGAAAATTGACTAACACTTCAATAAACTTTCAATCCTTAAAGTACTCATAATATCCAGTGATAAAATTTAGTAAAAATAGATAACAACAACATAAAAATAAAAAATATGGGCATACAAAGTTATTAACTCTCAGAGGATTTTCCAAAGAACACAAAATCCAATCCTTGTGTGTGAAGAAATGACGTTGTTGATGAACAAATTAAAGATTTGTAAGTTTTTTTTTTATTGTATCTTCAACAATTCCTGTAGAGAAAACTTGCTTGAATACTCAATTAACGTTTGTTATTTAATATGTACTAACAAATACTTATAACAATAATATTACAGAAACATAAACAACAAAACTTAAAGCA